GTAGCTTAAATCCCCGAAATACCCAGTATGGAGAGGTACTGTTATTTTGGGGCTATAAGAAAACGTGGACCTATGCAGACACGTTACTTACAGTACAATTCTGTTAGAACATGTGATGTAAATCCTTAAAATGCCGAATATTGGGAAGTGCAGTTATATGGCGGCTTGCTACTGACCAAATACTCATGTGTGCAAAATTAGCCTTCTAAATTCGTTTGAAATTGGCCATGTCGGCCTACGTTTTCGTACATAAATAAAAGCTTCATTTTTATACCCTCCACCATAGTATGGAGGGTATATTAAGTTTGTCATTCCGTTTGTAACACATCGAAATATAAAATTTTGATCCCAATTCTATGTCGATTTAGCAATGTCCGTCCGACTGTGGAAATCACTCTAGCTTGCGAAAGAAATGAAGTAAGATGATAAAATTTTACTCAAATGTGTATTATGTCTGCAGGACTTTTGGTATTGAAAATGGGCCATGTAGGTCCACGTCTTCGTATAGCCCCCATATAACGGTATATCCCGCATATAACGGTACCTCCCGATATTCGGTATTTTGATGATTTTCGCTCCATTTTTTACGAATTTTTCTAAGAATTGGTATTTGTGCGTCGTAATGAGTTCTAGCTCCGGTGTCGAAACATTGTATACATATACATACAAGGTTTCGGCACCACGCTTTTGTATAACCCCCTAATAACGGTACCGCCCGATATTCGGTATTTTGATGATTTTGTGCCATATTTTTTCACGGATTTGTATAAAAATTGGTATTTGTAGATCATAATGGGTTCTAGCTCCAATGGTAGAACATTGAATATTTAGGTCCACGTTTTCCTATCGCGCACATATAATGATAAGAAACAATATTCGGTATTTTGATAATCCAAGACACATTTACCACGAAATTGTTTCAATTTGGTATTTAAGATTTGGTATTTTATTGTCTATAGAGATTCCCGTTTTGGTATGGCCCCCAAACAATGGACTCGCCCACATTATGTTTTTTTGAAAAGTTTAACAGCATTATCCACACGGTCTTACCGGTATTTGTAGTTTATAGTGGAACACGTTTGAATTTAGATACTTTTGTATGAAAATGTTTTCTTTACCCAAAGCTGGAGGGTATTAAAAGTTTGGACCGGCTATATGGGGTGGATAGGAAAAATATTGAACATAAGGAAACCCAACAATTTCCTCAATATATCAGAAAGAGTCTACGTGACATCCTCTTAAAATTGACAATTTCCCCCAATTTGAAATATATAAAACTTTTTCCAATTTCTGGAGAAAAAATGTCTATTTCTGATAACAGATAATGCATTTTTCCTTTTTTGTTAGGTAGTATTAGAAACCTTCAAAAGTATGAATTTACAAATTGGTTTTATCTGTTACTGCGAAAATTACAGCCAGTTCCACGATATCGAAAGAACACGTTCGCACAACTTTTACACGACAAACAGCTGATTTCCATTCCACTAAAATCTATCAGAACGAAAATTTGCACGAAAATCAAAGCGAACGAAAACGTAAGCATTTCAGTGTAATTTTGCGTTCCACTATCTTTTTTCTTTCGTACGCATGCGAACACAAATGTCAAAATCAGTCACTTGTGTGTTTGCTATCGTATAATAACAATTAAGGAAAATTGTTTTAACATAAACATTGGTTGATTTTAAATGGAAACAAAAATGTAAGTAAAAATAATAAATGCAATTTAATATGTGAACAACAAATATATATATTTTTATTTTCTCAATTCCAGCACGAAAAAATCATCAACTACACAGCTGCGGGCACTAGTTGAGTAAATGGAGGAGAATCCTGTGTTCGCCAGAGGAATGCCAATTTTTGGAAGCAGCAGAAGAAGTTTTAAATCGGGGCGGATTTGGGTAGTTCTGCAACCGGGCTCCCACTTCTCTTCCATCATATCCAAAAGAGCCCGAAAACTTCCTTCGACACACGAAAGTTGGCCACAAACCTAGAAAAAATCGTTTTTTATTATTTCAAAAATGTAAAAATACAATCATACTTACTGGTTGTTAGGTACTTCAAATAAATTCGAAGCATCTCTTAAATGCCTCCGTGGCACATTTCGAACCTCCCCCATAAAAAATAGGGCTACTGAAATATTCTTTTTTTTTATTTTCTAAGAGCACAAATAGTTTGAATACAATCACTAGAAATTTTATTTTGTTTGTTTATTTACAATTTGTTTGTTTACAACTGAAATGTCAGTTGAGACAGAGCCACTGCTGCTTTTTCGCGTTTAAACTAGACATTTGACGCTTTTTTTGCTTTATTTCGCGATTAATTTTTCCAAAAAAAAAATATTTAGCAACACTGAATCACGTAAGGCTATGCGAAAGAAAGAACGAAAGTTAGTGGAACGCATTCTTATACGAAAGTGAGTGAGTAGCCTTCGTTCGCACAAAATTTCTTTCGAGATCGTGGAACAGGCTGTTAGTCAATTTACATTTGTTACCTTATACTTTATCTAACTTTGTGATACTTTGCATGCGCATACAGCGATGTTATGTATATCATACAGTTAGGAACGTTAAATACTTAATAACATACATAGTAAGGAGGATATATTAAGTTCGTCATTCCGTTTGTATCTCATCGAAATAATAAGTTTTTACCTAGCAAAGTATATATATTATAGATCAGACCTAAAGCTCAAATAAATATTTATTTATTGAAATTACATTGGAAAAGGTCGATTAAAAAACAAACTTGAATTATATTATAGATCAGTGTACAATTCTAAGACGATTAAGCCTTGTTCGTCCGTCTGTTTTAATCACGCTAGAGTCAAAACGAACTAAGATAGGTAAAACTTTGCACAGATCAGTCTTTTGTCTGCAGGCAAGTCAAGTTCGAAGATGGGCTATATCGGTACACGATATCGTATAACCCCCATATAACGGTACCCCGACATTCGGTATTTTAATGATTTTAGGGACATTATTCACCGGAAGTTTTCGTAGTTGAAGTTCCTAATGTGTACTACAGCCTGTGACAGAAAATTGCCTTTGCAGGAATAATTCTTCTACACGGTATTTTGATAATTTTAGATAAATATATTATAATAATATAGTAATGGCCTATGCAAGTCCATGTCTTCGTATAGACCCCAATACGACTGCGACTTCCTACAATTGGTATTTTAATGCCCTCCACCCTGGAAAGGAGGTTATTAACTTTGTCATTCCGTTTTAATATCCCTTAATCATCGTAGAACCCATAAAGTATATATATTCATAATCAGCATAAAATTCTAAGTCGATTAAACGACGTCCGTCTGTTGACGATGAAGCCCACATTATTTGACGTATAGCTTTTAAATTTAGCAGAACCATGATAATGACGTTTTGGTATAGTCTTTATATAACCGCACCTCTCGATATTCGGTATTTTGATGATTTTTGCATTTGTTTGTGTTTATTTGAGTTATTTTTTGGAGGGGTTTTATTATCTAAAATAATAGAAATTAAAAGTAAATCGAAATGGTTACATAATCAAAAAACGAACAAAGGTACAAAGGTTGTTCTTACTTAATTCTTTCGCTCTCGACGGTTTCTCCTGGAATGACTTGATGAAGTCATTGTGAGAAAATACAAAACGATAAATTATAATGAAAGGATTACTGAACACGTCTTAAAAGACGATAATAAACAAATTATGGAACGTTTACACATTATGAATAAAAATTGATCTCAATTAAAATTGAATGATACAAAACAAATTGTACATAACAAAAACATCAAAATTATAAAATCAAAAAAAAACGAACGTTAATAAATTTAAACTTTTAAATTAACTGAAAGATCTTCTAAGTTCGCAACTTAAGGTATTTTAAAGATTTCAACAAAATTTTTAATGGATTTTATTTTTTTGAAGTTTTTCAAATTCGTTCCGAATGGTATAGGGTATTCAAATTTAGACCCGACTGAACTTACTGCATTTCTACTTGTTTTTACGTATTTTTCTTTTTTGCATAATGTTTAATTCGGTACAAATGGTGGAGGGTATTCCATATCGACAAAGTAAACATCAACATCGAACGCTTTCGCGGATACTACAAGACAATTTGTTACCCCTTATGCAATATATATTGCATTTGGGGTAACCAATCGCTCTTACGTAGACCGACGTCAAGGAAGTGGACGGAAGAACACAGCAACATCAGCAGAAATGGTTCAAAAAATAAAGAAGAAACTTGATCGACACGTCGGAATATTCCATTCGACGAATATTGAAAAATGAGTAAAGCCATTTAAATTCCAAAAAGTTAAAGAAAATAGACTCAAAAGAGGTAAAGGGTTGCTTTGCTTGGCTGAAAGTGGTGCGCTGCCGAATTTGGTTTTCTCCGATGAGAAAACATTCGTTGTCGAGCCAAATAGGTCAGCTAAAAATGTGCACTTTCGGTTGGCCACCAGAACTCAAGCGCCGGCCATCCTCATGGTGCGAGCCGTCATAACAGCCGATGGTCGCTTTCCGCTCGTATTAATCGACCATGGAATCAGAATAAATGTCGAATATTATCGCTCAAATATTGTGGAAGGTGTATTAAAACCGTGGGTAGGCAAACATTTTGTCCGCAGACCTTGGTCATTCCAACATTACTCAACACGCGGCATCCAATAATGGTTACAAAATGAGGTTCCTGTGTCTGGAGTATTTTTGAAAGAAAGGTTGGCACTAAAAAATGTCGAAAACCTCAAGCAAGCGCTTCGCCGGGAATGGGCGAAAACACCGCAGAGCATCATTCGGGCGCGTGTGACTGTGTCATTGGCCGTTTGAAGAGCATAATTCGAGTCAAAGGTGACCAATTCAAACAAATCTAAACTTTGGATGCTATTTCCCCCATTTTTTTGCTTTCAATACAATTTGAAAAAAATGTAAAAACTATGTATGTTCGCAATTTCGAAGAATTACACAAAATTTTCTTCAATTTTAATAGTTTTCTTTGTTTTTTCAATTTGCAGTTCGAATGCGATTTCAGTCGTGAAAATTCTAAGAGTCCTACGTGTATTAAGACCTCTAAGAGCGATAAATAGGGCTAAAGGTTTAAAGGTATGTATTTGTTTCTATAATGAATGAATAATGTAGAGGGCTCGATCTCTTATATGATTTTTGTTGATGAAGTCGGCAGATTCAAACAAATTATACTCATCCCGTGAAGAAGTCAACATTCAGTTCAATCTCTTCCTGTTTTGTCACTAGTTCTTCCTTTCGCTTGGAAAAGTGAAATAAACAAATCAAATGACATATGCATAATATAGAGGCTTTATTCATTTAATATGTATTGCAGAATCGGGTATTGCTTTAATAGGTGAATTGGTGAGTTTAGTTTTGTTGAGATGAAACTTAAAATAAATTACTATAGCCGATTTCGGCTACGAAATGGTTAATGGTTACACTTCGATATTTGGCAACAGGCGAGACCTTCCGCTTTCTCCAATATATGTTCCATATGCCGCATAAATATAAATTTAAATGAAATAAAATTAAAATTCTTTGGGCTAACTAATAATCTCAATAAATATTTATTGCTTATATAGACCCCCCAAATTTCGTGTGTCATTCTGTAAGCAATTATTACAACTATAAAGACAAGTTTATTAGTTTACCTAAATTTTTATTTACGTGATCTGCTGATTATACTCATGGCTATCGCATATTCTTCCTATAAATTTGTATACATCAATGTATTTTCCAAAGGAAGAGTATGAAATGGTGGAATTTTCCGAAAAACCCCATTTAATGACTCTCAGGTTAACAACAAACTACATTTACCCCCACCAGAACAATTGACATCCAGAACAATTTCAGTTCCCTGCATTCTTGTTGGGGTTGATGCATTTGCTCTAATTTCTAATGTAGTAAAACCTTTTAGTGTCCACAATATTAACGCAATCCAAAGAAATGTTAACTATCGTCCAAGGCTATACAAGTTATAGAAAACGCGTTTGGAATACTCTCCGCGTGCTTTCGAGTACTACGAATTGCTAGCAAAGGTTGGACAAAAGAAAGCAATAAAAATCGCCAGTGCTTGTTGTGCGTTGCATAATTAACTGATGAGTCGCAATAATTGTACGCACTTCAATCCCAATCTTGTGGACCACTATATGTGAGATGGAGATGGAACACGTGTACTACTAGAGCAAGCTTCTGATAGCCAAACCAATCGTGCACCTCTTTGGTCTAATATTACAACTAATTGGTCTTATATTACAGACATGTTTTCACAATATTTTTTAGAAGAAGGCGATGTTCCCTTCCAACATAAGCACACACACACATATATATATGCATATACTAAATATATTTTACAAACAACAGCGTATATTGGAAGGAAACATCGCCTTCTTCAAAAAAATATTGTGAAAATATGTCTGTTACAATAAAAGAATTAGTTGCAATATAGGACCATATATATATATATATATATATATATATATATATATATATATATATATATATATATATATATATATATATATATATATAGATTAATTTCTCTTGCAGATAATGGCATAATGAGCTTCAGTAGCAGCATGTTTTTATTTAGCTTTTTAAAACTTAAACTGATCAAAGTTATTTCATGAGTACAGCTGCTAATTGCCTACTGTGAACCAATCAAATCTTCACATTTTTTAGGTAAAGGCTGCTCCACGGTCGGAAAATATTCATTGAGGTAACCCCATGTATCCACCAGCCTCATTTAAAAAGTTGATTACGTATTCCGTACAAATTTGACCACAACAAATATCTTGAAGGAGTCAGGAATGGTTAATATATGCGCATGGCCATGCTTGATTTCTATAACAGGCCCCAAATTATAAATATGTACCTAACTGAAAGGTAAAGGTACGATTTCGCTAAAAGGTGCTTACCTCCTTTCGCTTTCTTCTAAAAATGCTCTTCACACGCTGCAGTGAACTCTTGCACATATTTCCTCATACGGTTAAACCAAAACGTCTTTTCTATTCTCGAGAGATTTTTCTCTAAGCCATAATGACCAACATCATTATGAGATCGTTAAGCCATGTGCTATCAAATAGGATATCGTAAATTTTCAGAACTGGTTTGCTACACAAAATTTTAATCAGCCTTTTCAATCCATTTTCCTTAGGTTCGTTCCAATGAAATTTGTCGGCTTCGCTTTTTCGAGCCAAAATTGTAAGTAGTTTCTTTATGACAGTATAGACTTCCTCAAACTTCCTACAAGTTGTAATTATTTGATTCAGCTGTCTATATTCAATATATAAACTGTGTTCACCAGTTGTATTCTCTATTAAAATAATTTTCTTTGCATACGGAGAATTCGATGTAATAATATAATATAAATTGCTTTTCGAGCAGTATTTGCAACGAGGGAACGTTTTGCAAATGCAATACGGTATGGTTAACATTGCATTGATTCTTTCGTAGTAACTACAATTTGCATTTCTCCAAGTTACACTAATGCAATTCGCTTGACCTCTTAGAGAAACATTTTCCGAGTTTTTTTTTTTTTTTGAATGATCTGCTACAATTTGTTATTATACCCTCCACCTTGGAAAGGAGGGTATATTAACTTTGTCATTCCGTTTGTAACATCGACGACGAGGGAACGTTTTGCAAATGCAATACGGTATGGTTAACATTGCATTGATTCTTTCGTAGTAACTACAATTTGCATTTCTCCAAGTTACACTAATGCAATTCGCTTGACCTCTTAGAGAAACATTTTCAGTTTTTTTTTAATGATCTGCTGCAATTTGTTATTATACCCTCCACCTTGGAAAGGAGGGTATATTAACTTTGTCATTCCGTTTGTAACATCCTTAAATATTCTACGTAGACCCCATGAAGTATATATATTCATAATCAGCATAAAATTCTAAGTCGATTTAACGATGTCCGTCTGTCTGTCTGTCCGTTGAAATCACGATATAGTCCACATTATCTGACGTAGAGCGCCAAAATTTAGCAGAGCAATTGGTATTGTGTCTAGGATGGTTGGTATTGAAAATGAGATATATCGGTCCACGTTCTGGTATAGTCCCCATATAACGGTACCTCCCGATATTCGGTATTTTGATGATTTATGCCACATTTTTTCACGGATTTGTCTGAAAATTGGTATTTGCAGGTCATAACGGGTCCCTGTACGTGTGGCAAAACATTGCATGTATAGGTCCACGTTTTGGTATAACCCCCATATAAAGGTACCTCCTAATATTCGGTATTTTAATTATTTTTGCCACATTTTTTCACGGATTTGTCTAAAAATTGGTATTTGTTGGTCATAATGGTTTCCAGCTCCGGTGGCGAAACATTGCATGTATGGGTCCATGATTTGGTATAGCCCCCATATAACGGTACCTCCCGATATTCGGTATTTTGATGGTTTTTGCCACATTTTTTCACTGATTTGTCTAAAAAGTTGGTATTTGTGAGTCATAATGGGTCCTAGTTCGTGTGGCGAAACATTGTATGTATAGTCCACGTTTTGGTATAGTCCCCATATAACGGTACATCCCAATATTCGGTATTTTGATGATTTTTGACACATTTTTTTACGAATATCTCTGAAAATTTGGTAGTTGTAGATCATAATGGGTCCCAGTTCGTATGGCGAGTCATTGTAATTATAGGTCCACGCTTTGGTATAGCCCTCATATAACGGTATCTCCCGATATTCGGTAATTTGATGATTTTTGCCACATTTTTTTCACGTATTTGTCTGATAATTGTTATTTGTAGGTCATAATGGGTTCTAGCTCCGGTGGCTAAATATTGCATGTGTGGGTCCATGATTTGGCATAGCCCCCATATAACGGTACCTCCCGATATTCGGTATTTTGATGGTTTTTGCCACATTTTTTCACGGATTTGTCTAAAAATTGGTATTTGTTGGTCATAATGGTTTCCAGTTCCGGTGGCGAAACATTGTATGTATAGGTCCACGTTTTGGTATAGTCCCCATATAACGGTACCTCCCAATATTCGGTATTTTGATGATTTTTGACACATTTTTTTACGCATTTCTCTAAAAATTTGGTAGTTGTAGATAATAATGGGTCCCAGTTCGTGTGGCGAGTCATTGTAATTATTGGTTTGGTATAGCCCCCATATAACGGTACCTCCCGATATTCGGTAATTTGATGATTTTTGCCACATTTTTTTACGTATTTGTCTGAAAATTTGTATTTGTAGGTCATAATGGGTTCTAGCTCCGGTGGCTAAACATTGCATGGTCCATGATTTGGTATAGCCCCCATATAACGGTATCTCCCGATATTCGGTATTTTTTCTAATGTTTCCTTTACCCTAAGGTGGAGGGTATTACAAGTTTGGCCCGGCCGAACTTAATGTTCTTTTACTTGTTTTCTTTAGCTGTTAAATTTTCATTCAAGGGATAAGTACATAATTCACAATCATATAAAGAATCACCTCTTAACTCGTTTCGTCAATATCTATTGTGCCACCAATTTTCTGTTGCACTGCAAATATAACTGATGTGTCGTCGCAGTTAATTTAATAATTCTACACGCCGTATAAATTGCGAAATGTTAAATTCTGGCAGCAATTGAATTATTTTCTTATCTTTCCAAAGAGGTTGTGCTGAACATAATGTTGAGTCGGTGGCATAACCATTTCTGTATTTCGTGGAATATGAGATTGCCAATTGGTAAATCAACGGAAGCATTCGCGTTGAATGTTCGAAATAGTGGCGTTGTCTGAACAGATTCGTAATAGAAGGTGATTCGTAATATTGTCAGAACAGTTGCCACATTTGACAAGCTAAGCTGTATGCCTTGAGGAGACGTACTACCATCCGATGTGGTAAACGGGGATGGATGATGCGTTGTCCGGCAATGTGATTGTTCATGTTGTTCTACAAATTAACTTAATACAGTTACCGTATCTTCTAATAGCACAAAATGTTTCGACATACAATGGAAATATAGATTTTTTTCTTTGGTGACTTAGATGTATATTTTTGTCTTTGACGTCATCCTTTTGAAATAATGATTTTTTTGAGATTTTTAAGCAAACTCACGCAAAGTATAATTCTAACCCTA